AGGTGAGTTTGGGCAGGGTGATCACAGGCAATGCCTGATGAGGTGTGGTGAGATGGGGTCCACGACAGATGTCTAGAAACGGGTGGCGGGGTAGGGCAGGCACTGAGGAAGAAGCCTGGTGGGTCCTGTGAGGTCCCATATTCCTGAGACGGTGGGGTGAGCACAGGCAACTTCCAGGGGCCCCTGAGCTGGGAGCCCAAGGCAGCCGTCTGAGTGAATCAGCTCAAGTGCAGCAGCTGCCACCGGCCTAGCGCCCTGGCCACAGTGGGTTAGCTCAACTGGCCGCAGTCTGTGATGACAATCTTCTTGGATGTCTTCCCACTCTTGGAGCCGAAAGATTCTATTTTCTTCACAACATCCATGCCTTCTTTGACGTGGCCAAACACAACATGTTTGCCATCCAGCCTGTGAGGAGAGGGGAGGCAGGTGAGCATAAACGAAGAGTGGTGCAATGTCACCCAATGTCACGGTCCCTCCTTCCCAGAGGGCCTGGAGCCAGGAGGCAGCAGGCTACTCACCAGTCTGTCTTTATGGTGCAGATGAAGAACTGGGAGCCGTTGGTGTTGGGGCCTGCATTTGCCATGGACAGGACACCTGCAGGAACAAGGAGGAGTGAGCCAGGCTGCCCCCAGAGGCACCCCACCTGGGAAGTCACTCAACAGAGCAGAGGGCACAAATCACATCAAGGATGCTTGAAACTGGGGCTCAGAAGCAGAGAACCAGGGCCCAGAAGGTGCAGCTCCCCAGGGCCTGCCCACCTTTGCTGCCCCAGGAGGAAAGGGCCTCGTGGAAGTTCTCAGTGGTAGAGTGGAGTGGAACCCCCGGCCCTGAACTCTAGACTTTTCCACATTGGGTCTTAAAGGTTCTCTCCCCCAGGTTCTCAACGGAAGGTTTGTTTTTTAAACTGAGCACTCAGAATGAAAAAGCTCTAGGCAAACCCAACAAGGGGTACTGAAGGGAGGAGGCTGTGTGGCTGTATGTGGAACAGTCAGGCTGCAGCCCCGAGGCCTGCTGGGCCGACGGAGGCTGGGTCACAGCTCTGGGCCACACAGACTGGGGCTTGGCAGCCCGCACTCACCTGGTCCCACGTGCTTCAGTTTGAAGTTCTCGTCAGGAAACCGGCTTCCATAGATGGACTTCCCCCCTGTGCCGTTGTGGTTGGTGAAGTCGCCAGCCTGCGAGCACAGAGCATCCTCTGAGTGGTCACCACCAGGGCTGGCAGAGGGCTGCTGCTCCAGTGCTGGGACGCAGCCCCCAGCCCACCCAGGGCCACCCAGCCGGAAGCCCTCAAGCAAAGGGGTCAAAAAACACCCAATTATAAAAGGACTAATGCAATACTAAGGAAAATAAGCAAAAATAAAATATAGCTTAAATATTTTCTTGCCACAATAACAACCCTGGTTGCCAAATGATTCACTTTTTGTCTGAGTGAGTTTTTAAATGATCCCCCCCAAATCTTGGCCATTCTGAGATGATTCTTAGTGACCTAGAATTTTCTACCCACAACGCTTGGAGGGTAAAGAGGGAGGAGGCCAGAAGCCCCCGTTCCCAAGTCTGATCCGCAGGGAGCAGCAGCAGCAGCTGCAGAGCCAGTGCCCTGTGCCAATGAGTTCCCCTCCTTGTCCCAGCATCTCCCCTTCACCGGCCTGGGGGCTTCCCAGTGCCGTGCAGGCCCGGGACAGAGTCCACCCAGGGCTGGCATCCTTCCTCATGGCCTGCCCGAGGCTTCTGTGGGGAGCCATGGCCAGAAGAGCCCGGGGCTGCCAGCTGCCAGCCCCCAGCTGTGGTCATGTTGCTGTTTTCCTGAGATGGGATCCTCAGGTGAGAGGGGTCACTTGATCAGCCCAGCTGAAGCATCTACAAATACCAATAAGGTATTCCCAGAGAGGGACAATTCAAAACCCTGGGCTGGGCCTCCGGGTACCACCATCCCATGCCTCTGAGTGCCCTCAGGCTTTGCGGTCCCTATCCTTGCCTGTTGCCGTTCAGAGGAAGCCCCCAGCCCAGCTCAGGACATCTGTGTCAGCTCCTGCTTCATCCACAGTCTCAGGCAGACCTGGGGGCCTCCACGGCAGAGAGCCACAGGCTGTGGTCAGGCCTGTCCCACAGCCACAGCCCCTGCCCCTCCCTGCATTCATCACACTCAACACGTCAGCAGGCCCGGCCTCGACCCGCTGCTACTCATGGCAATGTGATGACAGCTAGCAGGCTGGGGCGGAGAGGATGGGAGGGAGAACTCCGGGCTGAGAGGACTGCAGAGAGGTCATGGCATCCATGCCCCTGCCTCTGGGTGTGCCAGCCTCGGACACTAAGCCCCGGCTTGGCAGGGTCTGACCACACAGAGGATAACCCCAGCACAGCTCGGGGTCCTGGGCCCTGAGGAGGTTCTCGCTGTCCACACCTACCCCAAAACCTCTGACACAGCAGAACTAAAGCTTCTGAAAAGGAGGCAGGACACATGACAAAGAACATACTCATTTAACTCATTTACTCATTTAAGGTGCCTTTCTCTGCAAAGAGAGGCTGCAAGTCCAGACCTGTGTGTTCTTGTCTGGGCCCGGTCTCTCTCCTCGTCCTCCTCCTCTCCTCTCCCTCTTATTTCCCATGCCAAGTGGTCGGTGGGACACCCTGGGGGACACGGGCTGAGACTGTCTGAATACCCTGGTCCTCCAAAGGCTTCAGGTCTACCCCCAGGCACATTACACCTGGATGCTGGATCACAGACCACTGCTCAACTCTCCTGACCCCGCCAGGCGGGGCCGTCCTGCACTTGCCCTGTTGCTTAACTCCTGGGGCAGGGAACGTTCTGTGGCAGCCAGGACAACCGTCAGCCTCTCCGAGTGGGAGGACAGGCCGAGAGAGAGATCGCAGTTGCCCTCCAGTCAGTCCTTGCCGGGCACCAGGCATGTGAACACTGGTGACACCCATGACAGTCCTCCGGGGCGGCCCCGTCACTATCCCCACTTGCACAAGAGGAACTGAGGCGGGGGAGGCGGGCCATACCTGGCACATGAAGGACGGAATCACTCTGTGAAAGGTGGACCCCTTGTAGCCGAAGCCCTTCTCCCCGGTGCACAGGGCTCTGAAGTTCTCTGAGGGGGAAGGAAGAGGCGGGTCAGCAGGACCAGGTCAATCCAGGGGCCTCAACTTGTTCCAGTTAGAACCCCTCCACCCCCGGGGGGGTGAGTAGGGCATGGAGAGACCCCCATCTCCGGGTCTGCTCCGGCTGTATGACCTGGGACAAGTCATCGCACACCCTGACCTCGGTGTCTGAACACTGTGACAAGACCACACGCTCTTGATTGTTCCGGCACTGGGTCAGCAGGGCAGGGAGTCAGAGGGCTGTGAAGCCACCACCCTGCTCCATCGGGCACCAGGAGGGAAGAAGTTCTCCCGGGGGAAATGTACATGTGCCTTCCACTGATTCTGAAGCTGCTACTGCACAGGTGGCAGGCCCGACTCTGAGGGTCAGAGAGGGACAGAAGGCTGCCCCGGGGTACCCAGCAGCTGAGTCATGTGCGGAACTCTCATCTGGTCAGAGGTGTCATACCTAGCTCACCATCCCACCCACCTCTCCTTGCCCCTCTCTCTTCCACAGAGACCAGACTCAGAAGGCCCCAGGCCCTGTCTTACCTGCGGTCTTTGGGACAACATCTGCCTTCAGCTGTGGGGAGAGAAGAGAGACAAGATGGTCGGTCCAGAGGCAGGTGAAGGAAGGAACCCCCTTCGGCCCAGGAGATGGGGCATTCCATTCCTGTCACTCCCAGCCCTCCGTGGGAGGCCACCTAAGCAGCTATCACTTCTGTCAGCTGTTTCCTGAACCCAAGGCTAGAAGGAAGCAGTGTCGATGTCCTAATCTGTCAAAAGAGATGACAACACCATCCTGGCTACTTCTGGGGACAGAAGTGGCAAAGCCGCTGCAGCTGAGCCCAAAGTATCAGAGACCCAGGGCCTGGATGGAGGACCCAGTCCAAGCTCCTCAATGCACAAATGGGAAACTAAGGCTCAGAGAGAGGCAGGAGCCGTTGGGGGAAGGGAAGGTTGGAGCCCCATCCGAGGCTGCCTTCTACCTCCCAGCTTCAGGGGCTATCTGGTGTCACACCTTTAAAGTAAATAGGTGCTCCCCATCTTCAGGAAGAGAAAACGGAGACTTAAGTGAGGCCCCCTTATTCAAAATGGGACGGGACTTGAGGCCTACACCCGAGCTTCCCCTGTTAACCTTCCAGGACTGTGTATTTGTATCCTGCTTTGTTTTTGCAAAAAAGCCCAAACAGCCGGGACAGGCGCTGGACAGGCGCTGGACAGGCGCTGATTGTTACGGGGTGGGGGTGGGGGGTTGTTGGAGTTGGGGCGAAGAGCTCCAAGCACTCTGCCTCGACTCCAGGAGGGATATCCTGGCTCTGCCAGGTGCCTGGACCCTGTGACCCGTCCCATCCAGCCCGCACTGCCGGGAGAGAGGTGGCCCAAAACCACCTTTGCTCACCTGTGAGCCCGACTGCGGGGGTGCGGCTGGGACCCGCTCCGCCTTCTAAAAGGGCTGCCACGTGAGCGCCCAGCCAGGCTCGTTGCCGGGACCCCGGAGCCCCCTGACGCCCACTTCGGAGCTCCGGGCCTGGGCTTCCACCCTGTGAGGTCTCGGAGTCCCTCCCCGACCCCGGGGCCGGCTGGCGGGACCTGGCCCTCCTTGCCTACAATCTGACCTTGAGCTTTCTCCTCTACACGCGCCTTCCCTCCCGCCTCCATCAGCCCAAAGTTCCGAAGGGAGGCCTGAAGAGATCAATGTGATGCCCCTTCTTAGAGATAAGGAAACTGAGACCTAGGGCCCGGGAGCTGGAGGCAAGGTCACTCAGCGAGCCAGGCGCAGCGCCGGCCTGGGGCCCAGGTTCTCCCGGCGCCGTCCCCGACACCCAGTCCACCGCAGTTCGGTGCGGTGTCTCACCTCCAGCACCACGCGGCCGAGCGGCTGCCCGTCGGCGCCCACGTCCAGGTACACTAGCGGGTTCC